ATATATATATATATATATATATATATATATATATATATATATATATATATATATATATATATATATATATATATATATATATAATTTTACTCCTCTCAATGTTCTTTTGTCTTTAATTTGTGTTTTACTTTTCCAGATTTTATTTATTTCCTACTATCTCAATTGCTGCTCACCATCTGAATATCAAGATAATGGTTTTTGGTTGACGGGTCATTCTTATTTTAATGTCTTATGCTTATTTTCTCATGAAAACTATTCATGTATAGGTCACTATTAATTATCTCTTGGGGAAACTAGGAAAGTCGTACTGGGACACAGTCGGAGTGGTTGATCTAGGGGGTGGATCTGTTCAAATGGCTTATGCTATTTCAGAAAATGATGCTGCAAATGCTCCAAAAATCTCAAATGAAGAACATTCTTATGTGCAACAGCTATTTCTAAAAGGAACAAGCTATCACCTTTATGTCCACAGGTGACATTTTTTGTCCAACTGTGAGGACATCTTCTAGTTCTTTTTGGAGTTAGACTGTTATATGGTAAATCATCTTTTGGGTAAGGTTCATAAATGTTGTATTGTTTTTCAAGATTCATATGCTGGCTGTTCTTGTGGTCAATTTAGGAGTTAATCATAAAGCAGACTAGCATTTTCCAGTGTTCCAAAATGTGCACCTGATTGACTTACTGCCTTTGTAGTTACTTGCACTATGGTCTGCTAGCCGTTCGTGCAGAAATACTGAAGGCTGCTGATGGTAATAGTAAATGTATTTTGGATGGTTATAATGGTATGTTTGAGAGTACTCTTCCCATGCTCAATCCTTCCTAGTATATCCATAATTCTTTTGTAATGTTCTTGACTTAATGCAGTCATTTATTTCACATTTTTGTTGGATGTCTTCCTATAGGAAGTTTATGTACACATCCCAAGAAAACTAGAGAATAAAAAAAAATGTTTTGCATTTTCAGATGGTCCTCTAAATTGTCTGCCATCTTTTATTCAGGTGTTGCCTATTGCTTTTTGTTTATAATTTCCACACACTTCATTCCACAGTTGATCTGAACCATTTCCATCTCTCGGTTGTCTGATGACCATCTCTCTTATAACCATGAAAATAGCCAAGAGAAAGTAATACCATTTAGATTTGTTCATTGCATGCCATAAAGAAGAAACTATTAATGCTTGGAGACCCCTATTAGAATCCATGAATTTATATGTTTAGTACCGTGCAAGCAGCAGTAGAAACTAGTGTTCATTGGATACTAAATATATTTGGTGACAACTTTTAGCCTTTCATTCATCAACATGTTAAATATTTTTAATCCTTTGAAGTTATTTCTGCATTACAACAGCAACCAATCAGAATTATCTGTCTAAAATATAGACAACCGAGAGAGCTGCAGTGATCTTGTTAATCTATTTTCTTTGCTTCTGATACTGGTCATAAAAGTTTCTCATAATTACTTTCTCAGTCTTATGTTTAGTGCATAATTTTGAATCTACATGTCAATATTTACTTACATCATGAGGCCCTTGCCAATGGGGGTTCGAGAGAATTAAAACACACAACCTTACCTATCCAAGAGGGGAAACTGTTTTTGTTATTTAAACCCTGGTCACTTGGACCACCATTTATTTGCTTTTGCCATTTAAATGGGAATATATCAATTTTAATATATGTTATTTTTGTTTTTGTGTAAGGATCATATAAATATGGGGAGAAGGAATACAAAGCTGTTGCTTCACCTTCTGGTGCTAGTTATTCCAAGTGCAGGAGTGACACTATTAAAGCTCTCAAAGTTGATGAACCGACGTGTACCCACATGAAGTGTACATTTGGTGGTGTCTGGAACGGTGGAGGTGGAGATGGGCAGCGAAATCTCTTTGTAGCATCCTTTTTCTTTGATAGAGCTGTTGAGGTATTGCCCTTTTTGGTTCCTTCTGCCTGGTTCACTGTTTTGTCCTTTCAACCAATATTTTCATTTGTGCATATTGCTTCTGTGTCTTAACTGTAATTGTATGTGTCACCTCAGGCTGGTTTTGTAGATCACAAGGTGCCAGTTGCCAAGGTCAAACCAGCAGAGTTCAAGGTTGTTGCAAAGCATGCTTGCAAACTAAATGTGGAGAAAGCAAAAGCCACCTATCCTCGTGTCCAAGACAACAATCTTCCTTACCTGTGCATGGATCTTGTATACCAGTTCACATTGCTGGTCGATGGATTTGGTGCGTTGAAACTAGTGATGCTGTTGTTTAATGTTGTGTCACTTCCAGCAATCTTACTTACCTTTCTTTTGTGATCTGACACAGGTCTGGACCCATACCAAGAGATCACTCTGGTAAAGAAGGTGAAGTATGGTGATGCATTTGTTGAGGCAGCATGGCCTCTGGGTAGTGCCATCGAAGTTGCATCAACACCATAGATAGAGTCCCTTGTACATGGTCCGCCAACTGCTTCGATGATTTGGATATTCTGCTCCAGTTTTGGAGCCCCAGCAAATCTGATTAAGCTCAGGTTCATTGTTACTCCTGCTGCTTTGCTTTGGGATTAAGGGCAACTGAGGGAGCATTCTCCATCGCAATTTTGCCTAGAATTTGATTGCTCTTCAATTGGTAAACCACAGAGGGAGGGAGGACTGCAATTTACAGGTACTTGCACTGACCATTCATTTTACATTTTGTATTCGGTGCTGAGATGAGATATGCCATTTTGTGTTTCAGACCTTATCAGAAGTACATAATGTCCTATTGGTTTCTACCCAATATCTTGCATATATCTGTTGTATTGTCTCTTGTGCATGTATGTGAGTGCCATACTTCACCTGACATTTGGTGCATCATAAGTTTCAATCCTTGTCATTTTTTTCGTTGTAATTTGTGAAGTTTATTTCAGTGTGATGCAAATTAAAACAAAATTACTCCAAATCTCTACTAGGTAACTTGACAAACTCCAAATTCTCATTCATGGGGGAGAACAGTCATTTCCAAAACAAAAATCTTTTATTAGGGATATAATAATCTTCAAGCTACGCGTTCTCCTAGAGAGCATTTATACAATGAGTTAGTTCTGGAGGCAATTGTCTTTGATTAAGCATTCTATATAAATGAAACAATTTAACTTATACACTGTTGATAACACTAAACCAAAGTTAAACTTTGTAATGTTATCAACTCTTTTAGCAGCAGGTAAAACACATTCTATGACCAGGCTGATGTTGCATGTTCACCAGCCTTTTTTTTCCTCCTACTGATACACTTCTAAAATGAGAAGAATACAAACAAACAAATGAATCTTATGCTACTGCCATGTTACAACTTGAAGTTGTTATCTCAAGGTGCTTTGAGCCCCAAGTGCTTGAGAGTTCCGACTACTATATTAGCACGTACACACACGGTCTTGTTGATTTGGCCCTCTTTAGCTCCAAAATGGTGGCATGTTGATTTGGCTCTGATTGAGATAAGGAGAACCTAATATTGAACTGTAGTAATCCTGGTCTGAAATATCAGCAACTGATGTGGTAGGTCCAATTGCTGCCAAAGCACCCTGGAACTCATCCAGATTCAAGTCCGTGAACCAATCATCAGCCTCTTCTTTCATTCCTTCCACAATTTGAAAGTTGCTACTAACAGTGGCGGCTCTCCCGTGATGAAGTCCTACAGAAGCCTGAGATGGGTTGCTTCCGGGTTGACACGGATCGCCGAATTCGAGCGACGCATCGTGTTCTATATCTGATTCTGTAGTCCAGAGGCTATCTGACCTCGTGTCATCAGTAGCCACGAAGGAGTCCATTGTTCTCCCAAAGGATGCTGCCACCGCTTTCTTCTGCTGCGTCTTCTCCCAGTTGTTCTTCTTGTTGTACAAGCGGCAGAGCACCCAATCATCCAGCTGCAGTACAGGAAATCCGATCGATTAGGGCCTGCAAGAGATCGAGAAAGTAGTACTTGCGTGAGTCTGAGACAATACCCTTCTGCTGCCCTTCTTGTTCGCTGATCGATCGGTGTCGGCGAGTCGGTACTCATGCATGATCCAATCGGTCTTGACTCCTTTGGGCGCCTTCCCTTGGTAGAACACCAGAGCTTTCTTGATCCCGAGAGGCCGACTGCTTCCCGGCGGCGAGACGGGCTTATCGGCCCCTGTTGCTTTCCAGTACCCTCTTCCGGCTGTCCTGTTCGGCCTCGAGCCGTTCGGGTACTTCCGATCCCTCGGCGTAAAAAAGTACCATTCCCTCTGCCCGAACAACGCCATCTCTGCACAATTCAGAACACCAGAAGGTGATTCGAGATGCATGGGAGGTGTTTGATGCATTAAAATCCAGATCGACGTTTGCATCCTAACTGTTCGATCTGATGTGATGATAACCTACCTGGAAGGTCCCAGGGGTCGTACTTGTAGAGATCGACCTCGCGGATGATCGGCACGGGGAGGCGCTGGCCGGCGGCCCTGCGGCAGAGGTAGTGGACGACGAGCTCCTCGTCGGTGGGATGGAACCGGAACCCCGGCGGCAGGTTCAGCTCGGCCTCCGCGTCTCTTTCTCTGCCCATCACGCCCATGTCTCCGGCCGCAGCTCTTATGGATCCAACACCTGTATCGTCCGCCCCGATCCCTGAAGAAGCTTTTGCTTGCTCGATTTAGGCGTTGATTTAGGTCGACACGGTATTTAAATACGTGAGGGTGTTTGGATGCGCACGAGCCCAACATGTTGGACTCGTCAATTGGAATTTGTGCAGGGCGGACGCATGTCGAGAGAGGAGATGGCGAGGGTGGTGCGAGGAAGGTTCGTGGCGCCAAATGGGTGGGAAGTCGGTTGGGGCAGAACGGTGTGGTCAAAGCCATGGACTCGGCCGATGGAGATGTCGATGGAATATCCGGGTTCAAAACACCGGCATCGACATGTCGTTGCTGCCATGATGACGTCATTGGGTATGTTTCCCCCTTTCTGTTTTGCACGTGCTGTGTTTGCAATAGCCGTCTTGCCACCGCCGATGGCGGCGGCCGCCGACGCATGCGGCTGTCGAATTACTTATATAAATATATATATAATATCAGGAGCTAATGATATAGAATTTTAAAGGGCTAATTTATGGGAAAAGCTACTGATTTTTCTCGACTAGTGTTTTTTTCTTTTTTTTATTAGTGTCTCACTATTTATCGATTTCAAATTTATATCCTTGGTCGGACATTTCAAATCAGTTCAATTATAACATCTTAAAATACGATAAAATACAATATAAATTATTTTTTTTTATCATTTATGATGTTTCAAAATTATATTTTGATTGATTTAAAAAATAAAAAAAAATTAAAATTTATGCCTGTTATAGTTTTTAGATATAAATTAACTTATCATCTTTGATGGAGCTTCAAATATGCATTATTATTGGTTTGAGAATAAGGATATTAGGAAAAAAAAAAAACTTGACTTATATGCTAAATATAGTATTTTTATTAGTTATAATTTTTTAAGGAAAATCACCTTACGAAAAAATAAATAAATAAATAAAATGGATGATCTTTTCAAAAAGAATACCTAATTTTAAATCAACTGAATTTTCAAAAAGAAAAAATCATGCTTTTTTTGACTTCCTTGAAAAAGAGACCGCTTGTTCTTATCCAGACAGCTAAGAGGAACTTGTGACATGGAACAGTAAGCATCAGCGATGCTGAATGCATCCTGTGATGTCACTGCTTATGGTTTTGTGTGCATCCAAGATGCTGGTGTTTCGAAGGAATTAGGCCCTGCATGCCACCTGTCACTCTCTGGATTCTTCCATCGCTTTGACCGCCGGAGAGCCGCGATGGTCTCAGTCAAAGGGTTCAGCCGCTGGTGCGTCTGAAAAGTCCTCCTTCACAGGTCCAAGCCGTCGATCAGAATTGGCATCACCCACCCGTGGGCGGAGGCTGCTATCCCTACCTCGACTGTTCTTTAGCAGGTGAGGGTGATGTCTATGAATTCCTGCATGTGTGAGTTGACAGTTAAAAATACATCAAGGAAAGGTGAGATATAATCAACGAATTGACTCGTTCAACTCAGGTTTGCTATCTTTTGTCATCGGTTTTCCTATGAGCAACAGTTCGAGGTCCAACATAGAAACTCATCCCCAATTTGGCCTACTTGAACTCGAAGTCCAACCCACATTCTAGTTCTGTCTTAATCCAATCCAAAGCTTAAACTAAACTTATCGAAGAGATGATGAGGGGACTGATAAGGTGGTTTCTATATATTTCTTACTCAAATTAACTCTCTAATCGTAATTAGCATCTGCTAATTAGGTTCCATGGACAGATGCTAAAATTCCAAGGATGTGAAAATGCTGTATTGCTTGAGTAAATACATCTTCTGGCTTGATCTCGATAAGCAACACTGAAGAACAGCAAATGCAAGCAGTGTCGGCTCTCCATAACCTCACACACGACGTATATCACCGGAACTCTTTGATCAGCTGAGACCTGAAGAGTTGGGATTTGGCTCTCCATAACCTCGTACACGACGTATATCACAGGAACTATTGATCAGCTGAGACCTGAAGAGATCTGTTAGAGCTAGCCCCAGGAAATTTACCACAAGGTAATTTTGGCAACACAACAAAGATAATAAAGCGGAAAGAATAAAAGCGACAAGAACACCAGAACACCAGATATACGTGGTTCGGTCAATTGACTTTGACCTACATCCACGGAAGAAAGAGGAGCAAATTACTATTATAAAAGAGGGACACTTACAAATGCCTTAGGAAGATGTTCCTAGGCCATAAAACACCTTCAGCTTACTAAACAAGAAAAACCCAAACCGTAAGCAGGTTTTCTTGTGGTGCCTCTTGTGCTGCCTGTGGTACATCTGACTTCAAAGCCCAGGCCCTTATTTATAGTTCCAAGACGAGACAATAAGTCTAATTTTCACGATGTGGGACTATGAGACTTGCCAAACTAACAAATCTCCACCTTTGCATGTCCCAATAAAACTTGCTCCACCTTCTTCACAAAAGCCCCAACGGGCAATCACCAACAATGAATACCAACCAAGTCCAAGCACTGCTTGAACTTGTAAACCGGAAGAGGCTTCGTAAACATATCAGCTGGATTGTCCTTCGTATGAATTTTCTGAACAAGGACTTTCCCCTCAGCAATGGTATCCCATTTGCATCCAACAATTTTCTTACCCGAAGGTGGCTTCACAAGATCCTAAGTTCGATTCCGATGAAGAGACTCAATTTCTTCATTCATTGCAATCAACCACTTAGCGGAATTATCACAAGAAACTGCATCTGAGTAGGAAGTAGGCTCACCAACTTCACTTGTCTCTTCTGCAACAGACAAAGCATATGCAACCAAATTTGCATATCTTTGTGGTGGTCGAATTTCTCTCTATGGTCTATCCTTGGCTATGGAATATTGCTCTTCCTCTGGATCATCTGTGTTAGTAGACTCGGGACCACCTACTGGCATTCTTTGAGTAGAAGAGTTCGACTTAAAAGAATCTGAACTACCAATCTCAAGCTCCACCTGCTTCTGCGCACTATCATTTGTACAACTAGTAGAATCCTCTTTAGAAGATAACATAGATAATTCATCAAAAGTAACATCTCTACTGATTATAAATTTTGGGGATTTGGGATCAGAACACCATAATCTATATCCTTTCACCCCAGAAGCATACCCAAGAAAAATGCACTTTTTAGCCTGAGGCTCTAATTTTCCTTCATTTACATGCATGTATGCTGGGCACACAAAAATTTTAAAATCAGAATAATCAGCAGGAGTACCT